AAGCTATTTAAGTTGTCCAAGACTGTAAGTGCTTCATTAATTAAAAACCAAATTTGAGTATATAAGGCAGAAAAGCAGCAAGCTTGTTTGCAGGGCTAGAACCCCAACTGTATCCAAGACACTAATTCAGATTTTGCTTCAATCCAGATAAGCATGTCCATCGCTATGTGTGTAACCTGTTTTGTATGTAAACAACATGTACAAGAGTATGCACAATTTCTGGTATAATTGCAGTTGTTTATCAGCTGTCTTCACCATTCCTGCAATGAATTACATTGTGAATTTCTGACAGGTTCATAAATGGTGAATAACTTCAAGTTTCGGTTTGGGGGTAATTTTTCTGTCTAATCTCTCTCCATGAATTAAACCTTAGGGAAGGTGCTGAAAATCTTAGCTTTTTCATTAGATAAGGATACATAATTTAATAGCTCCTTTAGCTTCAATCCATTGTTACTCTGTACTCCGGCTACACCTGATTTATATACTGAACTTTTCTATTAATATCAGTGTAATTATAACCAACTTGGTCTGTAAAAATTTTAGTGGCCATCATCAACTATGTCTTAGGAAAACTAGGGAGTTAATGTTTTTGAAGTTATGCTACTCTGGGAGGGTGCATTTTGGATATTAAGTTTGTATATGGATTAATAGCAAGGCATAATGCATACCAGCTGATACTTTCCTTGTTTATAACACAGCAGCTTTCTGAATCCTTACTTGAATTACTTCTGCTTAACTGCTTAGCAGTGCAAGCTGTTTGGTGCCTAGCTTTTATTGAGTGCAGCAGAAAAGGTTGCAAGTAGATCCCATTTTTCAGTAAAAAATTAAATTCTGACTTACACTTGGTACTGCCTTCATTAGGGCCATTGTAGCCTCTACAGTCAGTACTTTGCTTTTGGTTTCAGTGGACAAATAATGAAATCATTAACTGATTTTTAATTTATCTTTTTTCTCTGATTGTTTTCAGCTTTTTGGGCCATTGTTACACCTCTTGATTTTGGAAACAGGAGGCCACAATCCCTAGCTTTTGTGGGGAAGGAAGCATTACTTCCTAACACTACTTGTTTGTGAGAAATTAGCTGTTAAAATCATGCCAAAATGCAAATGAGGGGGCTGAGCAGAATGGCAGGAAGTTAATCATAGTACTCCACATTCTTGCAACCTGCCAGAGTTGGAAATAGTTCTGTAGCTCATTGGAAGGCTGGGAATGTCGACTTTCCAGAAGGAGCAGTAATTTGTTCTAGCATTGGCTGCTTGTTGAATTATCAGGACAGAAACTACATTCCATTTTTGGCTTTTTAAGTGAATCCAATATAACAACTGACATAGTCCAACTATTGTGCATCAGGATTTAACTTAGGGTTCGTGGTTTTTTTTTTTTTTAAACTAAATAATAGCATATGGAAATGAAAGAGGGAGCATATTTCAAGAATGGGAACATGCTCTTAGCAAACACATTTTGGGGGAATGGCATATATGAGGAAATTCTAGATAGATGTATTTACTTCCAAAGCATACCAGGAACATGGCTTTATTAAGAAAGTAGCTGCTTTTCTCTCTTGTGAAGCAGAGAGTTATAATGCTTTATTGTTGCAGAGCAGTTGCATTTTGCAAGCTGTGCTAGTATTAAAGAATGATCCTAGTGTGTTTAAAATCTCATTGCGAACTGAAGACGGAAAAAAAAGGCTTTGTCTTTCAACAACCAAAACGCAGAGAGCACCTTGGCCTCCAATAGGTGACATACACCACTGAGAAAGCAGGTGGGCATTGGCTGGGCTCCACTTCAGCAAAACCTGCAGCTAGTGCAACCTCAGTGCTGTCGTGGTCCACCATCGCTTCCACTCAGCTCTACTGGCTGGTACATCTGGATGAGAGCAAGCAATCAAAGAAAGATGATGGGGTTCAGGATGAGACTTTTAAAAGTTCTGGTGAACACTATGGAGAGAGGCAATAAGAATTATATTAAGGGGTTTATTTAAATGAGCCCTTATTGATAGCTAAGGTAGAACTATAGAGTACTTCTGAACGAGCGTAACGGAAGAAATTTGAATTGCCACAAAGTAAGTGTGATGGGCTTGCTTCTGCCCTGAGGTATACAGCCAAAAAATATAACCTTTGTCAATGACAGAAATGTATATATGCATTCCATATTAAGAGCAGCATATTAAACTAAGTATTATTAAAAGATGTATGATTTTCCCAATATACTGAGCTTCATTGTACTTCATATGTGTTTTAGCAGAACTCTCCCAGTTCTGCACGCAAAGCTGTTTGTATGGAGAGAAAAAAAATTACTGCCACTGTAGGTAGAGCTTCCATGCAGAATTTAAGATGCAACTTGTAAAATATGGAGGTTTACTTTGAATGTTATTCCCAACGGCTTCCTTTTGGGATTAAATCTATGTGCCTATTTATAGGAATGCTTCTTTTCTTTGTGATTAGATGTAATAATCAGACTATATGAAGACTTCCAGTGCAGAAGAGATAAAAGGGAGTGTATGATGCTCAGTAATGATAGGTTGTTTCTGTAGTCATGGCAAGTGATGCATTTAGAATACTAACAGCTTATTGACTAATGGCTTTGTGCAATTTATAGAATATGAATAATACAAAAAAAAATCCCGTAGAAGGACTTTTTACCTGTACGCTAGGGTGATTATGAAAGATTAGCATGAGGTCTGTTCAGGAAGAAACCTGTATAGTCAAATCTGCAGCAATCGCATATTTCTGAAATGTAATTAAATCTGTGTATATAGAAAGTAATTAAGAAGTGTCAGTTGTATTTTATGGTTGTTTTATAGTGGTTTATGGTATTTAACTATGTTACTGAAAGAGGAAGTAGAAAAAAAAATCTAAATGCCTTTTCTCCCCCATGTAAGCCTTATGTTCCTATGTTATCTAAACTCAGTGGATGGTTAACACCTACATAGAGAGACAGATAGTTATTGAGAGCAAGTATCTCAATTATTATGCTAACAAATGAAAAATATTTATTTAAACCCCTAAGACCTCTGTCCTTCAGGCCAAGAACATGGGATTTTATGAGTCGTGGAAACATTCTGGATTTAAAACGGACTTCTTTATAACTTTCATACCGTAGGAGGACATCAGTGTATATCAGAAACGGAATGCCTTGCTGGCTTCAATAACGCAAGCAGACGCTCCAGAATCTCCTAATGGAGTAATTTAATTGGGGGAAAAAAAAAAATAATCCCTGATGGTTGTCTGCTATTGCTAAAGAAGATACAGAATGCTAGAAACAGTCTCTTGAGGCACAATGTTAACTGCCGTTTCTAGCTTTATTTTCTGATAGAAAACCCTGCTCATTGTCGGGCTGTATAAATAATACCACAGACAAAGAAATGCTAGGGTGAGGAGCCTTCCTCAGTTCTTTACCTCTGAACCTAAAGAAGTTAGAAACAAGCTTTAAAAGCCTCAAGCAGAAGCGAAGTACAGGTGACCTGTCAGGGAGTGTGACTCGGGTGACGGATTTGGTGAGAATCGTGCTGAAAATAGGTCTTTCTCCCGATAACAAGTAAAGATAACCCGATCACTGTTCGGCAGCTCGTTAGGAGAGTTCAGAAAGCAGGAACGGACTGGAGCGTAGGAAGCTCTCGGTGTGTCTGGGGAATACAAGGGGCACCGGGGCAGGGTCGCTGCCACCGTGACCCACGTTTCTCTAGGCTGAGGACCCCCTCACACACACCCCCAAGCCGAGGTGTCGAG